GGTGAAGGGGCGATAGCAGGTGAGTGAGAGCGGTCGGTCCTCTTTGCAGCCATAATTGGGAGCGGTGGTGGTGGTGGCTGCAAAGCTCTGGGATCCCTCACAAACCGTGTGGATGGTCAGGGTTGACAGGATCTAAACTCGCGTGGATCTGTGAGGGAGTTTCTAGGTTGAGTTTATGGCGGTGGGAAGACTCCCGCTCAGTGTGAGCAGCACCACCCCATGGCGTCCCAGATGGAACAAAAAAAGGAAGAGGACAAGCTGAGCCCAGCATCCACCTCTCTCTGTGTCCTGACTGTGGGGCCCATGTGGCCACCCGCCTCACACTCCTGCAACCATGCCGTCCCTTGCCATGGCAGGCTGCACCCCACACTTGGAGCCCAGGCTCCCTTCCTTGAGTGGCTTTTGTCGGGTGTTTTCATAGTAATGAGGAGATTAATCAACACCCGTGGTAGCGCCCACTTTCAATGTGGGAGTGGGGGAGAAAAGGAGCTCAGAGAAGTACGCCCACTGTGTTATTCACAACTAAGACCTGAACAAACAGATAAATGAGCGTAGGATGTGTGCACATACACACAGTGGAATTCTGCTAGACCATAAAGAAAAGTCAGGACTCAGGCAGGAAACTTCGTGGAGCTGGAAATTATCATGTTAACTGAGATAAGCCAGATTCAGAAGGCAAATGTTACATTTTTCTTTATAAGCATAATCTAGATTTGTGTGTGTGTGTGTGTGTGTGTGTGAGAGAGAGAGAGAGAGAGAGAGAGAGAGAGAGAGAGAGAGAGAGAGAGAAAGGGAGAGAGAGAGCTTGAGAAAGGAAAAACTCTAAAAAGGAGGGATGTTGAGGAGGGTGATGGAATGCAGGAGGACATGAAAGGGTGTCACTGTGTCAGGGGAGGGAGCTGGCCTGCAGGGGTGGGGTGTGATGGTTATTTTTATCAACACAGCACAACCTAGAACCACCCAGGGAGAGTCTTAATGAGGAATTTTAGGTCAGCTGGGCGGTGGACACGTCCCTGGGGATTGTCTTGACTGCTGATCGGTGTAGGCAGACCCAGCCTGTGGTGAGTGGCACCCCTTCCCAGGCAGGGTGTCCTGAACAGTCTGAGTGGACCGAGCAAGCCAGGCCCTGTGTGTTTATTCTCTTTCGGCTCTTGCCTGTAGGTGTGACTCGGTGCTCAGGTTCCTCTTAACGTCCCCCCATGATGGTCTGCAACCTGGAACTGGGAGCCAAACAAATCCCTTTCCCTCCAAGCTCCCTGTCAGGGTGTTTTATCACAATGATAGAAATGAAATTAGAGCAGTGAGGAGAGATGAACGAGAACGAAGTATAATGATGGATAAAAACAAGCTATGGATAAAATTGCCATAATGAACCCCATTACTTCACAAGGCGACTTTTAAAATTAATGAAAATAAATCAGTTTACTAAAATAATAATAGTAGAACATACCCACCAAGCAAACCTGCCACCAAAGAGACCAGCAGGCACACAGACCTGTGGAGATGTGAGGCTTTCTTCTTTTTAAGATTTTGTCTTTTATAATAAAACTTACTTAGCTCAAAATATAAGTAAATATATCTAGGGAGGTGGCTCAGCAGTTAAGAGCACTCCCTGCACTATAAGAGGACTCAAGTTTAGTTCCCAGCACCGAGGTCAGGTGGCTCACAATGAAAACAAGACAGCTCCACACAGCAGAAGGCATCAGCGCTGAGTGCCACGGACACCAAAAGACACGCAGATGTGGCTCCTTGGTAGACTACGTAGCACACACAAAGCCCTAGGTCAAGTCCCCAGCATTCCATTACCCAAGCATGGTATACACACCTGTAATCCCATCCCAAGAGAGCAGGGATCAGTTCAAGGTTATCCTCCACTACATGCCTAGTTTGGAGCCAACCTGAGCTACATGAGACCTTGTCTCAACAGAAAAAAAAAAAAAAAGATGGGGGGCAAGAGAGATGACTCAGTGGTTAAAAGCCTAGCACCCACACTGGGCAGCTCACAACTGCTGGTAACTCCAGCTCCAGGGGATCTGACACCCTCTCCTGGCTTCTGTGGGCACCTGGATGTGTGGCATACATTCACACACACATGCACATGCACACGTACATAAATAAAAATAAATCTTAAAAATCAGTAAGTAAATAAGGAAGTGTGTCATGAGCAGCATGCCGGGCGAACTATTATGTAATCTCTATGAAGCTTGGCATCTGCCACAAATGTGCACTGAAGCCCATGACTCCACCTGTGAAGGAATAAGTCCCTGACAGCACCATGGGGCCGGAGACTCGCTTCTGTCCTCTGTCTTCTCCACACTCTTGTCTCTGAGCTCCAGGTAACCTTCGCCAGGCTCTCAAGCCAGGCTGACCACTGGCAGTCATGATGCCACCAGGGCTCCCAGGCATCAGCACCAACTGACACCGCTTCTGAGCAAGGATGCCATCTGCTGTTTCCTTTGCCACCCTGGTTACTCATCCTCAGGTTCCCCCAACAGACAGGTCAACCCATCCTGTAAGCAAGGCTAATGCACACCCTCATGATACTCCCCAGGCTCTCATGTTTGAGGCTGGGATCCTTCCCACGAGAGGAATCAGACCCAGCAGAGTGGACACCCGACCATATTTGTCCCACAGATATTCACGCCCACCTGGAAGCAGAGGCTGAGGCCAGGTGAGCTCAGGAGAAGACGGTAGGTATCTCGGAGGGGCCCGTGCACTTTGCTGCCTTGCTGCTGTGCATAGAAAAATAAGGTCCAGTAGGGGACGGTGCCTGTTTGCAGCACACTGTTCAGACTCCCCTGCCGCAGACGCCTGTGCGGTGGAGGACAGAGCGGGCAGTCACAGGGGCTCTCACCTCTTCTCCCTTCTCCCCACAGCCACCCTGACATCTGCGGCAGGATCCTGGCCACAGCATGCCCGGCGCTGGGCTCTGCAGCTGTTGGGGTGGCCGGGTACTGCCCTTGCTTATGGCCTACGTCTGCTCCCTGCTGCTTGGGGCCACCATCTTCTGGGCGCTGGAGAAACAGGCAGAAGCTCAATCCAGGGACCGGTTCCAGCTGGAAAAGCTGTGCTTCCTAGAGAACTACAGCTGCCTGGACCAGCAGGCCAGGAGAAGTTCGTGCAGGTGAGGGAGTGAGGAAGGGTGGGACAGGAAGAGCGGGAAGGTGGTGGAGGGGCCAAGGGCAGGTGCAGAGCCACCACCCAGAGGCTGAATACTGTTTGGAGAGAGGGTGGTGAGAACTGGAGCCTGGTGAAGCCTAGTCCAGAGCCTGACCCTCGTCTACAGCTAGACCACTGTATGGCCTTGATCAAATCACTTGCCTAAGTGCTTCCCATCCAAATACAAGGATCTGAGTTGAATGCCCAGAACCCACATGAAAAATCCAGGTGTGGGGCAAGCGAGCCAGCTCAGCTGGCAAAGGAATTTTCCATCAAGCCTGGAGACCGGAGTTCAACCCAGAGCACATTTGTTAACCCAGCACCAGGGAGGCCAAGACAAGCAGATCCCTAGGGCTATCTGGCCAGCCTTGACAAATAGGCAAGACCCACTCAAGCCGGTGAGAGAAGTGGTCTCAGAAAACATGGCGGAAGGCTGGAAGACAGCTTAGTGGGCAAGAGTACTTTCTTTGGGGACCTGATTTGAATTCCCAGCACCCAGGTAAAACTCTGGTATGATGGCAAGTACATGTGACCCCAGCATTGGACAGGAATGGAGTTGGGTCCCCCAAGAGCTCATTGGCCAGCCCAGGGGCACGCTTCCAGCTTGGTGAGAGACCCAAGGCAATGGGGTGGGAAGTGATAGGAAGACACAGGCATCCTACCCAGGCCTCCTCTGAGCACACTCACACATTCAGAAATGTGCACCAAAGAGAGAAGAAGGGAAAGACGGGGGTGGGGGAGGAGAGAGAGAGGAGAGAGGGGGAGGGAGAGAGAAAGACTAAAGAAGCAAAACTAGGGCTGGAAAGATGGCTCCATAGTTAAGAGCAGTGGATGCTCTTCCAGAGGATGCAGGTTCAATTCCCAGCACCCACATAGGGGATCCTGTGAGCACCAGGCTCACATGTGGTACAAAGACATACATGCAGGAAAAATGTACATACACATAAAATAAAATAAATCTTTTAAAAAAAAAAAAAGAAGAAGGCTGATGGCTCTGAGGAGTGACACCTGCAACTGACCTCTGACCTCCACATGTATATGCACACAACTGTCTGCACATACCCAAGCATGTATCACACACACACACACACACACACACACACACACACACACACACAAGGGTGCTGTCTGTGCTCCTGGATGGAGACACAGATAAAGGTGAGGACCAGCTGTCATACTAGACTTGCTCCCTCGCTGAGCTGGTGGACAATGGCCAAGCACAGTTGGCAGAGTGATGACTGGCCATTAGTGAGTCACTCTGACATGTGTTGGGGATGGGGGACCAGACCTCTGTTCCATTGTGGCTCCCCATTGTGGGGCTGAGCACACACAGGTGTTTTCTCCCAGCTGTCTACTGCGATCAACATCTCCAACTTAGAGGTGAGAGCCGAGGCCCAGGGAGATGCAGGGTGTCAGTCACTGGCTGAGGCAGAACTCACACCCATGCTTCTTGCTGGGGTACCCTTTACTCTTCACTGCACAAATTAGCACACACATTGGGGGCAAGGTACTGTCGAAAGTGAGAGTTCTCCAGGTAGTGTCCATGGACCACCACCACTTCCACCACCTCCAGCACCTCCACCACCAGCACCTCCACCACCACCAGCATCATCACCACCACCACCAGCAGCACCTCAACCACCACCAGCACCTCCACCACCACAGGCAGCACCTGAGAGCTTATCAGGGAATCAAGTTGCAGACCCACTCAGACCTGCTGACTCAGGGACTGAATGAGGTCGCCAGGTGATGCTGAGACCCCGAGACTTCTCTTGGAACTGAGAGCAGCTGATCTCCAAGATGAGGTGTCAGCAGAGAGTGCTGCCCCTGATTTTCCAGGATCAGAGCATTCCTTACTCCATGCACACGTTTTACTCAGTGATGGTGCTCATCTTCAGGCACCCCAACGTCCCAGGAGTGAGCCAGAGACAGGGACACCTGAAGTCTTCTGCCTCAGCCCTGGGCTGGAGGTGGAACCAGGAATGAGCAGTGGACAGACTGATCAGGCTCAAACTGGTTCTGCAATTAAGGACAAGGATCTAGGTCTGTCGGCCAGTGTGTAGGACCAGGGACTCGATAGGAAACTTGTCCCTCAAAGTCCTCAGTCTCCTGACAGGGCAAGCAGAGCTTGGAGGCAGAGAAATGCTGGAGTAACATTTGGAGGAAACCCAGTCCTGGGAAACTCACACGCTGAGCCATGAACATGGTGCTGAATGCAGTATTCAAACATGACTCCGTGAGGACACCTGTAAACCCGCCTCTTTCTCCTTCACCATCCGATCCTCAGAGACAAAGATGCCGCAGCCACTTGAGGCCACTCAGCCACGCTCAGAGCCCCTTCTCCACAGGACAGAGGGCCTGGAGGTGCAGAGGGAGAGTCAGAGACCCGGGAACATGCTGTCCCCAAGAGTGGGGTCTCCAGGGAAAGGACATGCTCTGAAATGTCTGGACCAGCTCTCTGCATGTGTGGGAAAGAGGAAGGTCTTAAGAAGCCAGTTCCTGCCCAAGTGAGAGCCAGGAGGCCTCCACCCAGCAAGTGGAAACCAGCTCCCACAGGAAGGGAGGCAGGAGTGGCCACCATACTTCCCATGCCCCACCCCCCCCCACGTCCCTGCACACACACACCCCCCCCGCGCCCCCGCACCCCTTTGGAGCACTGCTGGGGAACAAGAATGAGCTGGTGCCGCCCTGGGACAAGTTTCCAGCTAGAGGAAAGAGGGCCAGGATTGGGGAGAGGGAGCCCTGCCCTAGAAACACAAAACACAGACACACAAACCATACACACCCGTGTAACACAGAGCCCTGCACAGCACACAGACAACACACTGTGTGCCCACGCAGCCTCTCTCCCCGGTCCCTGGTGTAACTTCTTCTGCAGGCGTGGGCTATGCTCACTAGAGGGCGCTAGAGAACAAAGTGGCCAGCTCCCATCACACACCCAATGGGAGGGAAGCCCCAGACCCCACCTTCCCAAGCAGACCCTTCCAGAAGTATCCAATGTCAACCTCACCTTGTCCTAACTAATGTATATGTGTGTGTGTCATTTCTGTCACCAAAAGCATCTCCACACTTCCTCCTCAGGCCCCTGGCTCTCCACCCATCAGAGCACACACCTCAGTCAGCCTTGGCCACTCAGAGATCATGTTCCCTTCTGTGAAATGGGAATGATGTTGTTTAAGAGACTTATTAAACGTAAACTCACAAAAGCATCCTCCTGAGAGATGCTTGGTGAGCTCTCAGCGGGCCCTCAGCGATCGTTAACCCCTCCCCTCCTGACCATGCCACCTCAACCGGTCATCCGGGAAGCCTGGGTGAAAGGTGTGAACCCCAAAGGCAACTCCACCAACCCCCGCAACTGGCACTTCCAAAGCAGTTTCTCCTTTGCAGGCACTGTGGTCACCACCATAGGTAAAGGGCCGGGGAGGGAGGGGCGAGGATGTAGGGGCCGCCCCAGGCCCTGCTCAGCTTGGGATCGCTTCCAAAAGCCATCGTTGGGAAGAGGATGTGGTTTAAGCCGGTGGTGATGCAGGAAGCAGAGACAGGGGCATGGTGAGACAGTCACAGGAAGGCAGTAAACCCTGCTGCTACGGGACTGGGCTGGGCTCACCTCCGGGGTCCTCTGAGGGGCTGGGCAGAGCCCTTCCTCAGCACAGCTGCATGAAGGCAAGCATGGGTCTCTCTATTGACTTCAGTCCTGGCTGGCAGAGAGCTGGTTCTGGTGTGTTAATGCTCCAACTCTGTGCACCTGGCCATGTACTCTCAGAGAGAGATAGTGAAGAGAGGTCATTTGTGCATGGGGCAGCCCCTCAAAACTGCAGGTGACGTCCCAGTATCCCAAGGAGATGGGATATCGGCAGAAAGCCGACTCCACCCACCCCAGCCTCTCACACAGGCCTCCCTTCCATTCAGTTAAGCTGCAATCCAATCACAAACACCTTCCTTGGCAGTCCAGGAAGAGTGTTAGAATGCGGGTTGGGGTATGAATTTAGAACAGGCTTGGCTTCCCAGTTCACTAAAGAGGGACTGGGTTACTATGATTACATAAGGCAAATGGGATAATTAAATAGAAACGACACAAAACATCTCTGGGAATCATGCCTGGCAGGAAGGCAGAGGGTGGCAGTCGGGAGGGCTTCATGGAGGCAGCATCATTGGAGAAGAGAATTCTGTAAGTACAGATTGCTCCAGCGGAGGGTAGGATGCGTGCCATGGGAACAACTTCTTGTCCTCCCCCAGAGGCGGTGGAGACAAGCCTCTGCGAGAGCTGCTGACAGAAGGCAGTTCGGATCTCTCTTCCCCTCACATGCAGACTCCCTTGCCTGGCAGGCTATGGAAACCTGGCGCCCAGCACAGAGGTGGGGCAGGCCTTTTGTGTCTTCTGTGCCCTGCTCGGCATCTCACTCAACGTGGTCTTCCTCAACCAAATGGGCACAGGGCTACGTGCACACCTGACCACACTGGACAGGTGGGAGGACCATCCCAGGCGTTCCCAGGTAGGATGGTATCTTCCGGAGCCCCTGGGACAGACAGCTTGCAAATGTAGAGATGAGCTTGGGTGTATGAGGTTAAGGGCAGACACCCCAGAGAGTTCAGAACAGGGAGACACGAAGAAGAGCGATTCAGGCTGCACCTCAAAGTTCCCTGCAACACATGAGAGCATGGAGGCGACTTGCCAAGAGCTGAGGGCCAGACACTGGGTACGACTTCTCCGGGAGGACTGTGTCCAGGTGCCAGGTAGTTCTTTGGAGCAGAAATTTGAGTATCATGTCTCCATGATCATCATGGACTTCCAACATCCTTTTGCGTGGTTCAAAACAGTCTCTAGGCCACCCAGTGAGCCCTAGAGCTCACTGCCACAGAAGGACCTAGGACATCTTGGTAATAGCAGTCTCATCCCAGACCTGAGTCCCAAGTGTAATCCTCAAGTTCAAAGGGGTCTCCCTCCTTGACCAATTAACACATCCCCTGCCCTGGGAGGCCTGACACAGGCTTATCACCCGACCCAGTCCACACCCAACTCCTCCCAGACCTTCCCCATACTTCCCAGACCCTTCCAAGTGTTCTCAAAGGCAGACCCACCCTTCTCAGCTCCTGCAGGTCCTGGGCCTTACTCTGTTCCTGACCCTGGGGACCCCGGTGATCCTCATCTTCCCAGCCATGTTATTCAGCCATGTGGAGGGCTGGAGCTTTGGCGAAGGCTTCTACTTTGCCTTCATCACCCTCAGCATCATTGGCTTTGGGGACTACGTTGTCGGTGAGAATGAGATAATTAGGTACCCTGGTGGGTACTCACTAGAACCTGGGGTACATGGAGGGACCAGCAGAAGCTGGTTATCTCTGGGACCCCTGTGGACTCTTGGTGGCATCCTCAGAAGTCTCTGCTTTTTCTGTCACTGGTCCTTCTTATGAGGACCAGGGAGAGAACACCCCATGGAATCTGGGGGTAGCTGTGCCCTCAGAC